TTCTCCCCCTTCGCTGTGAAGCCGGGTGGCTCCTGCATTGCAGAGCTCAGGGCTGGGATGCTCCAAGGATGCCCCTGGCCACTCAAAAGCCTTAAATGTCTATTTTCCATCCAGAAACCAGGGATGAAGGAGGAAGGAGTTCCTGAACTCGGTGATTGAAGGGACGGTGCTCTGTGGATGGCATTGTAATGGCAGGACAAGCTGGATCCCTGGGGACAAGACGGAGAGGAACAGAACCCTGAGCCAGGAGCGACTCATGGGGTTTAGGGAGAACATTTGAGAAGTTCTGCCCCTGGTCGTTATCAACATTAATACGTGTTGTGAATTAGTTTATCAGGTTATCCAAAACCATGATAAAAAAATTACCTACAGCCCTGGCCAGTGTAGCTCAGTGGTGAGAGCCTCAGGCCATGCACTGAAGGGTCACAGGTTCGATTCCTAGTCAAGGGCACGTACCTGGGTTGTGAGTTCAATCTCCACACCCGGTTGGGGTGCCTATAAGAGGCAACCGATTCAATCAATGTGTCTCTCCCACATAGATGTCTCTGTCTGTCTCTCTCCTTCCCTCCCTCCCTTCCACTCTCTCAAAAGCAATGGAAAAAATACCCTCAGGTGAGCATTAACAACAAAAACTACCTACAAAGGGCAAATAATAATTGAAAACAAAGGTGTCCCTGGTAGCAGTTGGTGGCTTAGGGAATTGGGGAGGAAATGCAGGAAGGAGAGAAAGAAGCCGGGACACAACAGGTAAACTGAGAAGGGCAAGTGTGAGGCCTGAGGGCAGGCAGACAAGATCTCTGAAAAGGTGTGTCAGGTGCTATAAGGGGAACAGGTAGAGAGGTCAGTGAGCACTAACAATCACAACTTTAATCACAGTTTTATCCGGTCCCAGGAAAAGTGCAGACATAAATCCAGCAGCAGGCGGGGCTGTGCCAGTCACAGGTTCGCTGCCCATGATACACACCTGTCAGCCTATCTCATCAACCAGGAGCTGACGCTCCAGCCTGCGCTCGGGGTAAAGGGAGATTTGGAAGACATCTGCTCTATCCGCCGTTTGCTCACCTCGGCATCACGCAGACAAAAAGCCACCCCCGGAATTTGCTTAGACAACCCCGAACGTGGGTGGAGAGGGAGAAAATCACTGAGTTGTCGCCCGGTCCATTACAATTCTGGAGCCACCGTTTTAGATGGTAAAATGCTCGCCGCCCACAAGGAGCAGCAGCCTTTCCCGATGGGCTCAAAAGCGCTGGCAGGAGGCTTCATTTGTTAGGGAGAGAGAATGCTTGTTTCAAAATGACCCTGAGAGCTGGAAAAGAAGGAAGTGAAACTTCATTCTTTGGGTCAGCACCAGGAAACGACTCAGGCTCCTCCAGATGGGGAGCCCCCCTCCATTTTTCACTTGCTTTTAGACCGTATAGGCATAGGGAAGGAAGAGGGTTAGAACATCATCAGGCTGATAAAATGTAACTGCTTTTTGGGTATTTGACTCCAGGGGTCTTAGGAAGGTAGCAAGCATCTGTCTCCCACGCTTGCTCCATCACTGCAAGAATACAGCTTTAATTCTGTGTCCCTGCGTCCGAATGGGTACAAGCCACTCCAGAAGGTCTGCTGGGTTCCCTCTCCTGACATCCCCCCTTTCCTTTTCCACCCTCCCTGCCCATAAGCCCAAAGTTCATCTCACAGCCCCTGCATGCTAAGGAGCCATCCAGCCCTCCAGCTCCCATCTCTCTGACAAATATTTATTTCAGCCTGTTGCAGATGTTTCAGCAGAGAGAAAGCCCACTCCCCCGCCCCCTGGCCCTCACGCAGTTTATGCGCCTGAGACTGGGAAAACTCTGCCCTTAAATGGACTGAAACAGTTTGCAGCTGTTATCTGTATCGATGTATAAAGAGAGGGTGTTGCAGAAAGCGTACAAATCCATTGGCACAGTGCGTGATTCCTGGCTGCACTGGACCCGCCTCCTCCAGCAGCCCAGGGGAAGGAACCAGCAGAGCAAGTAGAATCGGTGCCCATGGCAACGCGAATTCTTGCTCTCAACTTGTCAATCCACTGCAAGGAAATCACATTCGTGGGATGCTTTTCTGTGACAAATAGCTTCTGTTTTCACTTTTTAATCACGGATAGATTTTCCCTGATTTCTCAGTTCTTCACAGGCCTGGCCAAAATGGGGGGAATAGAGAATGTTTCCAAAATGTCCTTGAAATTCCAAGCAGCTTTTTGAGTTGAGGGAAGGGAAAGGAGAAACAATATGTTGGTGCCCAGGTTTCTGGGCTCCAGGACCCTGAAGGTCAAAGGCCTAGGCAGACCCTCTTGGCGATTTGCTTTTAGTCATTTAGTTTCTGCATCTGTGAAAGTACAGATCGCATGTGCCTCACAAGAGTGCCCTGAAGTTTAATTAATGTTTGCAATGTGCTGAGGGTAATTGCTGAGGGTTATCCATGAATATTGCTGGTTGATGCTCAAGAGGGGAGCTTCGGTGTCACCTTAGGCCCTTAGCAACTTCAGTCATCATCAGTCAGAAAATGCTCATTTTATCTATCTTTAATTGCTTAACCATGGGCCACGCCTGTAGGAGTTAAGGAACACATTTTATGAACAAATTAGTAAGTTCCTAAAAAGGGCTAAAGTAGAACTAATTTCCACCTGGAGAAAGCTCTCAGCAACGGCACCTATGACCCACTGTGTATTTAACGGGAAGCTCCATGAAATGCAACGTTGGACATTGAGAAAGAAGCCATGGAAATATAAGTTGCAGGTCTGAGCCATCTCGATTCTTACTTGAAAACTAAATGATAAGAGGGGGAAACTAAACACTGATTGGAAAATAGAGTTGATCATCTCTGACTTGTTTATCTCTGAAATCCTGGGTATGTTTTTCCTCCTGATTTTTGAGAATTGAAGGACAAATCCATACAAAACAAGGAACTCATTTGCAGGCCTTGGCTCGACTCACTCTGTCAGCCTGAAGATAAAAGAGGTAGAACATGACCCAGAGCTCTGGGCCCTCCTGGTTCTCAGCTCTTAAGAAGGGTGGCCTTGTCTTGGGATATTGTTGATTGAGGAAGGGGACCAGCCCCAGCCACTTCGTAACAGTTACGGCAATCTGACTGCTTCCAGCTCGTTGGACCAACTGGACCCCACAGAGTGTGCAGTGCAGGCCACCTGACTCCCCTCAGCTCTTCACAGGGCCTCTGCCAGCCTGCTTTCCCGTGCCCTTGAAGGAAATCCTGGGAAGGTCCTGCAGATATTCAGGCCAATATAGGCAATAACAAGTCCTCTACAGTACTGGTGAAGACGTGGAGAAATGGGAACACTTTTGAATGTGCTTAGTGCCACTGACCTGTACATTAAAAAATGGTTAGAGTGGTAAATTATGTATATTTTATCATAACAGTAAAAATTTAAGTCCTCTAAGCATTTGGGGTAGAATATCTGACCAAATACTAAAACTTTAGTCTCTGTCTGGTTTTACTCCCTCCTCCTTGCATGATCAGCTTGGAAAACATTACCTTCCCACAGTAGCTAACTGCCACCTGGCCGAGAGATGGATCACAACCTTCACCCTCACACGCGGTTGTAACGGGGTGGGACGGTCGATGTAAAAGTGCCTGGCACTGTGCCTGAGACATAGAAGCTGCTCGCCGAGTAGTGTTAGAGGAGCCAGAACGTGAACATGCATCCGCAGGGTGGAGGGCGATGGGCAACACGGGAGGAGCTAAAGAAGCTGCCTAGCCTTCCTCACAGTGGAGCTTGTGCTGGTACCAGTTCAGCCTCTAACTTCCCTCCTTTCTCCCTTTCATGGCCCACTCCAAAGGGCAAAAGCATGCATGGGGCACAGTGATGGCCAAGACAGAAACAGGGCAGTGGAACACAGAGGGAAGAATTCTGCACAGTGCTGCTCATCTGACAGCAGGCTGCAGGGCCGTCCTGGAGCCAAGCCAGGCCTCCACCTAGAGGGGAGCAGGGGTGGGCCTTGCAGTGGTATTTGAATGCTCCTTTGAAACCCTCCTCACCCTCCCTGTTAAATTTGGCAGCTGTTTTAAAGCTCTAAGCCAACTAAATCATGCTTGACAATCATATTTGTTTCTGGCTACTTAACTCCTTCACTTAACCCCTTAATAGATATTAACGCCATGTTCCCTGCCACAATGCACAGGATCACACACATTTGCCATGTTCTGGCTTCTACTGTGTCACAAGTTGCTAATGAATCAGTGAAACTAAATAGAAAAAAAGGTAATTTTTTTCTTCTTCACTAGTAATAGTGGAAAAAAGTGAAAAAATCACTCCAGGCACCAGCTGGGTGTCCCACAATTCAACTCACTTTGGACACTGAGAGACAGCATCAGGTCCCCCAGGTCAAGGGCTCAGGGCTCCGTCCCTCTGCTTCAGATGCCAACCTTGAGCCCAAGTCATTACCTGTTCTGACCATCTCCTTAAAGGGCCAAAGGGAGGGTAAAAAAGGGGTGGGGTCAAGCAAATGTTCAAAATGTGAAAACATGGGAGATGACCAGGCCCTGGAAAGGGGACAGATGCTAACAATATAAAAATAATCCCTAAAGGTAACCCTGACTTAAAAATGCCCCGCCCCCCCATCGGTTTTGATAGGCTACAGATAACCCTCAGACCAAATTCAAAGGATAGCTGTTTCCTTATTATCCAACAAATCAAACTTGATTTCTAGGAAATTAAGGTACATAAATATAATAACTTCATGTTCTTCGACTTTCAAAATAAAGAGGATCATTAACAAATATAACTACACAAAGTCTCTGCCTTTTCCCAGCAGGGCCTAAAGAGGAAAGAATCAGTGGCAAGAACACCTGTTCCTAGCAGGCAAGTACTCCAATATTGTAATTAACAAAATGTCCAGCTACCAAAACGTGGGCAGGAAGGATGACGACGGCACCAAGGGAACTTCCGGGACGTGGGCTGTGACCAGCATAAGCACACCTCCAGAACGGGAATAAACTTGTGACAAAAAAACGACAACAGAGCATCATATTGTAAATATTATATTTTTCTCACTCACACACAATGTTGCATGAGACATTCACTACTTTTGATATGTATCCATAGGATTAATACTCATATGGAGTATAACATGGGAAAGTGCGGAACTAAAGTCTATCTGAAAACAAAAGCACACATTTCTTAGGATTTAAAAATATTGCACATAATAAGGTTGCGCAGAAATTACTGTTTTTACAAACAGAATGAGGTATTAGTCAATTTCTAGATAAAGATGAGTGCAAAGAAGAACCACACACAAAACACATAAATCCAAAGTAAGACATAGAGAGCCAACAATTAGAAAAATGTGAAAGGTATGTGAAGTAGCTATGATTCCAACATCACAAAATCATTAGCCAGGGGCCAAATATGTAACAATCTCTTGGCAACATTACAGAAGTTTTCAACTTTCTTTCTGCATAACCATGAACAATACAGTCATTTTCTTTACTTCAGCTGGACTGAAGGAAGGCAGGGCTCTGTGGGAAATACTAAGCCACGCCTTTCTGAAGCTTCCCATGGAAATTTACCAAGGAACTGCTGTCCTCTGCAGAACGACTCTTTGTACAGTTCCACATACACCTAACCACCCAAGTCAGCGATGCTATGGAGCATGCAATTTTAAGTTAGCAAAGTTTCCACTGCAAAATCACTCAAGTTCATACAATTTAAACCTAAAATAAATTTAAAAGTTTAACCTCTAAATAGGTATCAGGCAAACTCATTCTTTTCTTGGTAATAAAATTGGCCACATTAATAAGCCCAAGGGCAGGTGGAGAAAAAAGACCAGGTGGAATTTTTCAAGAGCCTTTCCTAATCAGAGAAATTAATAATTGGTTATTTCTCTACTAACTGAATGAACGTTGCTTAATTTGTCAAAAACAATTTAAATATACTTAACAGCTATATCAAGTTAAGTGAAATCATGCACTTGTCAAAACAGTTCACAGAAAACTGTTCTGCATCATGGATACTGAAGAACAGTCAACTGGTTGGGTTTGGTGAGAACAGAGAGAATGAACTACTGTCCTGAACAGTCAGTGTATGTAGTGACCATGTTTCCTCTGCGCTGAGTGACAGTCCTGCAGTGCTTGCTAGATCCATGGAATCTATTCTCAGTCTGTACTGTGTGCCGACCAGTGGGGTCAAAACCACTGAAAGAAAACATTTTCTCCATATCTTCAAACATGTCATCAAACAGTCCACCTCCGAAAGAAAATTCCTGGAAATGGTGCCTCTGTCTACTAGAACCATCCTGGCGTGAATGGAAGGGATTTTCAAAATGCTTCTTGGACCGAGTATTTTGGTTTTGACCAAAAAAACCAAAGTCTTTGAATAAGTCATCGAAATTGAAGTTAAATGACTGCTCAAAAGGACTCCCACCACGTCCTTGGCCTTTCCCATTAGTGAATGCACTGTGTCCAAGAGTGTCATACTCTTCTCGCCTGTTAGCATCTGAGAGTGTTTCGTAGGCTGAAAGAAGTAAAAATACTTTAACAACTGAAGGTAATCGAGATCACATATACCCAAACCTCTTCAAATAAGTACATTCAACTCTGTTTCAGAGAATTTCACATAAGTAAAACCAAACCATTAAAAAATAAGAATAAAGTTAAAATGAAAGTTATAAAAGGCAGGGACTTTGTCTTGTTCACTGCATACTATCAGCTCTTAGCACAACACATGCCTTTAATAAATAGCCAGTAACTATCTGTTAAATGAATGCTACCATTATAATAAACAAACAAGGACAACAATTAGTTATTTTTCATATTATTTGTGTGAAATCATTACTTGTATTAAAGAATTTGATAGTTAAATACAACGAATTGAGAGGAATTTAGGTTTTTCACTTCCTTGCTAGTTGAAGTAAATATTTAACTCCAACCCCCTACTCAGGTAACTCCACCCACTATTAACTACTGAATGTTGTGGAGATGCAATTTGTTTTAGAACTAGTCTTCAGTCAAAATTTGTTTCATATTTTCCCTTTAAAGACAAATGCGTCTGTGTGATGTAGATCAATTAAGCATGAAAAAGAACCAAGGCATTTCAGTCTATTTAAAGTATTTACACTTAACATTTTTTTATACTTAATCTCTATACTTAAACAGTTTCATAAGTTAGTTTATAAGTTTGGGGTACCAAAAATTCCTTCTGACATAGAAACAATAAGGAATTTTACAAATAATAAAATTTTCAACATTTTCCGACCTGTATGCCAATCCACTTGGGAATCAAATTCTCTGTTGTAAGAGAGCATTTTGGAGAAGCTGGCCATAGTTAAATGCAGAGCCCACGCCCCTCCATCCCCACAGCGTTCAACAGGGCCCTTCCCGGGGAGGGCTCTCCTGTACCAGGCAACACCTGCGCGACCTCTGGCCGGTCACTGACTCACCTTCCGCAATCTCTCTGAATTTCGCTTCAGCATCGGGGCTCTTATTTTTGTCAGGATGGTACTTCATGGCCAACTTGTGAAAGGCCTTCTTGATCTGGCGCTCTGATGCCGATTTGGGCAGACCTAAGATATCATAGTAGCTTTTTGAGGCCAAAATTAATTCCGTTATCATTAAAATGCAGATTGCAAAGATGAAAACTGACTGGGGAGTAGCCATTTCTAATACCCTAAAAGAGAAAAGAAAAAAGCAGTTTTATCCATGGAGCTAATCTTAAGGCTTTTTCTCAGGAGAAACCCCAGGAGCTTCTAGGATACAAGGTACACTGCACGCCCGGTTATTTCACTTTGTATCTCACAGGCTGTGCGGCGCCTACACTGGCTGCGGCCCTCCCGGGAGCAAATGCAATTCAGCCGCGCGGAACCGTCCCGCCCTCCCGGCCCCGGCGGGGCGCACAGGGCACGCGGGGTGCTGCGGGGGTGCTGCGCGCCCCGTAACCCGCGGACCGCCCGGGCGGCGCTGTGGACAGGGCGGGAGAGCCCAGCCACACCCTAAACAACCTCCATTCCCCAAAACCCGTATTCTAAGGGGCTAACGCCGTAGTTTAACTTCCCAGGGGAACAGTGCGTCAGCAAGGTGAGGGTCCGCCCGCACCCGCCTTCGCGTCCCGCGGGGACACGCACGACGCGGGACACGAGGGAAGGCAACCACGTTCTGAACGGTACGACCCCAAATACTGAAGAAAACCCGGGGGCGAACGCGCCTCTTAACGTGCGTTAGCAGAACCTCGGCTCCCCGCTGAGGCTGCCAGGAACTCGGCAGCCACTGAACCAGCTCCGACCTGGAGAACACGCAGCTTCAAGGCCCCGCGGGCACGGATTTAAGGGGACGCGCTGTTCCCCGAGGCTGCANTTTTCCGACCTGTATGCCAATCCACTTGGGAATCAAATTCTCTGTTGTAAGAGAGCATTTTGGAGAAGCTGGCCATAGTTAAATGCAGAGCCCACGCCCCTCCATCCCCACAGCGTTCAACAGGGCCCTTCCCGGGGAGGGCTCTCCTGTACCAGGCAACACCTGCGCGACCTCTGGCCGGTCACTGACTCACCTTCCGCAATCTCTCTGAATTTCGCTTCAGCATCGGGGCTCTTATTTTTGTCAGGATGGTACTTCATGGCCAACTTGTGAAAGGCCTTCTTGATCTGGCGCTCTGATGCCGATTTGGGCAGACCTAAGATATCATAGTAGCTTTTTGAGGCCAAAATTAATTCCGTTATCATTAAAATGCAGATTGCAAAGATGAAAACTGACTGGGGAGTAGCCATTTCTAATACCCTAAAAGAGAAAAGAAAAAAGCAGTTTTATCCATGGAGCTAATCTTAAGGCTTTTTCTCAGGAGAAACCCCAGGAGCTTCTAGGATACAAGGTACACTGCACGCCCGGTTATTTCACTTTGTATCTCACAGGCTGTGCGGCGCCTACACTGGCTGCGGCCCTCCCGGGAGCAAATGCAATTCAGCCGCGCGGAACCGTCCCGCCCTCCCGGCCCCGGCGGGGCGCACAGGGCACGCGGGGTGCTGCGGGGGTGCTGCGCGCCCCGTAACCCGCGGACCGCCCGGGCGGCGCTGTGGACAGGGCGGGAGAGCCCAGCCACACCCTAAACAACCTCCATTCCCCAAAACCCGTATTCTAAGGGGCTAACGCCGTAGTTTAACTTCCCAGGGGAACAGTGCGTCAGCAAGGTGAGGGTCCGCCCGCACCCGCCTTCGCGTCCCGCGGGGACACGCACGACGCGGGACACGAGGGAAGGCAACCACGTTCTGAACGGTACGACCCCAAATACTGAAGAAAACCCGGGGGCGAACGCGCCTCTTAACGTGCGTTAGCAGAACCTCGGCTCCCCGCTGAGGCTGCCAGGAACTCGGCAGCCACTGAACCAGCTCCGACCTGGAGAACACGCAGCTTCAAGGCCCCGCGGGCACGGATTTAAGGGGACGCGCTGTTCCCCGAGGCTGCACCCCGGGGCCCTCAACACCCCACGGTGACGAAACGCGGCTGATGAAAGGCTCCGGGGTTTGGGGAAACGCCCGCCCTCCCCTCCGTGGCCTTTCTGGGCGTCGCCAGGTGGGTCACTCCTCTCCGCGCTTAGTCACGGCCACGGGGGCCGGGGGTCAGGGGCGGGGCCGAGG